GAGGTGTGATTACTATCCCTGTTACGTGACAATATATCTTGCGGGGAACTAGCTTGCTTCTATGCCCCCACCGCGATGTTTTCGGGGAATTGTCTGTGGGGGCTGAAAAGGGGCCAAGACTGAATGGAAAGTCGCGTGTCTAAGTTAACCAGTTGCAGTGAGCTGTCTGATATAGATGAGAGGCCATGTTCTTACCATTTTGAGTAAATCCCGCGAAGGATTCTATTGCTGTGAGTCCCGCTATTCCACAACCCCGCCTGGGGTGCATGCAGACTGCGTCACATTGGTGCGTATCCACCATTGGCCAGAATCGGCCATCTTATGAGATGCGATTGGAGGGCGACCCTGGAGAAGCCAGATCCCTGTCAAGTTGAGAACATCGCGATCCCCTCGTAGTCCGAGTGCCGAGGCAGACAAACCATCACTCAGGGGGCCTGACCAAATGTCCATTTCTTGACGTTGACCTACACAGACTTGCAATTTATCCTCACAGATTTTTTATGAGCACACCATCACACACGGCAAGAAACCAAGAGTAAGAACTTCGTTTGCGTGAAGTGACGGTGAATTTCGTCTCGTACAATCCCCTCTTCCGGAAGCAGTTGCGATGAAGCCTCGAACTTGATGGACTACCTTAAATCAAGCCAGACAAGATGTAAATAGTGCAGCAGCCGAGGCCCCGAGGCTCATGATCTTGACGTATCGGACTGGCATCACACTTATGCTGGAAATATTGCAGTTAAATAGCTAAGACGTATTCCTCCCGGAAAATGAGGCCAATCTCGCAAGGTCAAGGAATTATCTGGCAAACCTCCATCGCAATCGAACTATCAACATATCACACCATGTTCTTCATCAAGCTTGTGGCTCTTTCAGTTCTGTCTTTGTCCGTTGTAAACGGCCAAAGCACTGACGAATGCCCTGAAGTTCCAGAGACGGGGGTTACTATTGGCGATCCTGTCCCCATCCGACCGGAAGATATCCCAGCTGGCTGTTCTGACTTTGAGATTCTTGTTGGTGTGTTCTTTACAAACCTGATCCGCTGGTTCTTTGAAGTTAACTCGGGGATGCCCAGCTCGAGGAACGAGTGAGCCTAACTATGTTGGAGGCGGCGGTAAGTTCGGCATCATAGTCGGCGACCCGGTCGTTAGCAATGCCACTGTTGCTCTGCCTGATGCTAGAGGGTACCCGGTCCAGGCAAGTGTTTGTACTCTTATGTCCAACAGAGAATTTATTAACCCGACAATGCACATAGTATCCGGCCAGCTCGCAAATCATCACAGGCGTTCGTCAAGGTTCTAGAGACGTGGTCAACCGTCTCAAGTCTCAGGCTGCTGCCTGTCCCAATCAGAACTTCTCCCTCGTCGGATACTCCCAGGGCGCAGCTGTGATGCATGCTGCCGCGGCTGACATCCCGGCCGAGCTCTATGGCCGCATCAAATCGTTAGTGATGTTTGGAGATGGATACTTGAAGCTCGGAGCCAGTCTAAGCAAGTTCCCTGCCGGACTGAACGAGAAAGCGAGGCAGGTTTGTGCAGCTGGCGATCCAGTAAGACTGATACCAACTTCCAACCGAATTCATATGACCCAGACTGACTCTTACGTCTAGGTTTGCGATGCCAATGGCACCTGCACATTCTTCCACCTCACTTACATTCGCCCCGAGTTCATTGATCCTGCCGTCGACTTCATTGTCCAGAAGTTCATTCAGTAACTCATCAACGAGCAATCCTCGATGGGCTAGGTACTTTCGTTTCTGGGCAATCTGTGGGCTTTCGGAACAAAGGCGCAAGAGTTGTGAATGTATCCCCTTTCCATGGCCAGTTTTATCTAGTTTAACATCAAACATGAGGTGCTTGCGTCTATGCAAGCCATACCGATTCAAGTTTTGAAACTTCCACCGGATAGCTCTTCCTCCAAATCGTAATATACCTGGAACTCGCAGTAACAAACCTCAGGATCACTCTCAACGTCAAAGTTGAAGTTCGCCTCGTCATCACTGATCAGCACCTTTCGCAGGCCAACGTCTCCATGCGATGCAGCCTCTACCAACAGCTGAACCTGACATGTTCGTTCCATTGATGTGAACAAGAAAGCAGCCTCGTCGACAGTTTTCCCAACGGTCAGGATTCCATGGTTTCTGAGAATGCACCCCTTGCCATTTGGACCAAGTGCGCTAGCAATGCGGTCGCCTTCTTCACTACCCAAAACGACACCTCCGTAGCTGTCATACACGGCATGCGCATCTCCTCGAAATTTGCAAGCATCTTGCGTCAACATGTCCAGTCGTCTGCCGAAGACCGACCATGCCTTTCCATGCACACTATGGCAGTGGCAAACAGCATGGGCATCCGGTCTCGCCTTATGAACCGCAGCATGAATAAGGAACCCGGCAGTATTCGGAGGAGCAGATTTATTGCCACCAATGACAGACCCATCCAGGTTGACAAGAATCATATCGCTAACTTTCAAGAGGCCGAAATGCCGGCCTAGGGGGTTGGTCCAGAACGCATTGAGAAACTCCGGATCACGAACCGAAATGTGACCGCTCATACCCTCGACATAGCCTTCGCGATGCCAGTGACGGAAGGCAGCAGCCATATGATTGAGTTGCCATTGACGGTGTGATTGGAAGTCCAAATGCTTCGGAATGCCGCCAAGAACAATGCCACCATAGGACATAGCTTGAAGTGGTGTTTTGTTCTGCAACTCGTGGCCGTGTTTGTTTCGGGAAGTCTCCAAGTCGCCGCCGCCACTGACGATATCAGAAGCGTTAACTGAGATAACTGAAGGTCCCATGATGAAGAGAGATATAATTTGTTCTTTAGACGTGTTTGATGCACTGTCAATTTCGATGACCATGGTGAGAGAATCAACCTTCTTTTATAGCACTGTTGCAGTTTTTGGGTTTTGCCCGACACAGCGCGCGGATCCGTCACTGCTCAAATTATCATTTTGCTTGAATGCCTAAGAGTATTAACTCAAGTTAGCATGCGCATCTTGTAGAGCAGGGATCTTGTATTGCGGGTAGAGAAAAGTCGGCTTAACTCTGGTTGAATGGCGAACCGATCGTGCTTGTCCGGGGTGGCCTTCTCCATCTAACAAATTGACTCCTGAGTCCTACTACATATGCACCTTAACGAGAAGGAGCAGAATGTGTCATCTCTGCACCTTCAATATCCCCAGGAGAGCTTGTATGTAGCAAAGATCCTTCACTTTGAGATTGATCCATGTGAAAAGAGACAAGGATCACGCGGTAGTGTGATATGCTGCATCTGGACTGATCGCAGATGGAAACCGCCATACTATTTCCCATCTCGGGATTTTCTATCTCGGGAGTACTTCCGTTACAAAACTCGAAGCAGTAGCTTCGAATAATGAACTACTCCCTTATCATCGAGATCCAAATTAGGTAGGTAACCCCCAGGTTTTGTTGCTTGTTAGTGCGGGGTTGCGAATAGTCGATTTGATGCATTAGGCGATGGACCCATTTAATCCCGTGGAAACATGCCTATATTGTCACGGCCCATCGGCACCTCCAGAAATCATTTGGATGAACAATCCTGCGTGATTAAAAGTGCCTCTCTCTACGATATTAACGATCTGAATTGACTCTTTTGTAAAAGTTTCCGCCGAAAACGACGAATAGACAAATGCCCGACTGCTCTCTTAGTCCATACCTACCTTTCCTGTCTCCATAATGCCGAAGTCAATTAGGCGTCGAGTTGAGCATACACGAACCTTTACGGGGTGTCGAACTTGCCGGAGCCGTCATGCAAAGTGCGACGAAGGGAGACCGGAGTGTGCAGCTTGCCGCCGAAATGGGATCACCTGCGCTGGCTACACCGCTCGTCTAACTTGGATCGAAGATTGCGATGCCTCTGGAGAAGCAACTCGGCGCGGCCCTGAAGTGCCTGAGTACCGGTACATCTTATTTTCAGGTCGGATTCATTTTCGTGCGGTGGTATTTTCTGCACATGCTGACGCGGAAGGCTGTGTCCTCAGACTCTGAACGTGAGATCATGAGCAGCCAGCTCACAGATAGCCTTGGCTCAAAGGCAGCCGGGAAAGTGCTAGCCGAAATTGACACGGCATCCAAAACATCTGAGCCTAAGAAGCCTTTTAGCATCTCAAAAGGACCTTTTGGGGTGTTCAGATGTCTTAAACGAAGAGAAGTCTCTCTGAGTCAGCTATCACTGTCGCCTATTACCTCAGAGCATGATATTAGCCTACTTGTCGATCCTGAAGATGAAAGTTTACAAACGGGAACTGACCCACGAGAAGATTTCGGCATTGACTGGTCTGAGAACGAACTCGAAGGATCTTTGCAGTCATTACTAGACTGCTTAGATCTCTTGGTTGCCCAGAGTGATTCCATCACCGCCTCGGACCCTTTTTCAGCCTCAATGCCTGGCCTCCAATCAGATTTCTCTGTCAACAATTTGCCAATGAGTTGGCCGGAGGATGGAGAAGGCAATACTTGTGGGGAAGACAGAGATATCATTGCACCTGACACCAATGCTATTGAGACAGACAACCATTTGGCCACCTCCCATGCTAATGTCGCCACCATCATGACTATACCGCCTACATCATTATGCCTCGGAGCTTCTGTTTCACGAACAGAGGTACCTGAACAGGCACAAACGCTGCTTCGCTACTACAAGAGCCATGTTGGCTCTACCAAAATTTCTGGACAAGGGAAATTCAAATCAACTTGGCAACTGTTATTCCTTCCTTGTGCCTTTGAGACGTTTGCGGAGTTGTCAGTTTTGAATGAGGCATCTCAAAGTCGGCTGGCGATCCTGTGCGCATTACTTGCTCATAGCGCCTTTCAACTCAACAAAACGGATTTAACACCGCGTTTCCCAAATTACTGGCAACATCTGGGTGACAAACACCGAGAACGAGCTCGAATGCATTTGAAGAATGCTGTGAAGGTAGAGATCCACGATTCTGGATTAGGTGGATACAAAGACCTATTAATGGCCTTAATCGCTATGGCCATGGGATCTGTGAGTATTTTGTGTTGAAATTCCAGTCTTTCGAAGCTGACGAACTTCAGTTGTGCCATGGAAGCCGTGGCTCACGCGTCTTCCTGCTCGATGCTGAACGTTTGATAAGAGTCAAAGGGCTTTCTAGCCACAACTCTGAGATAGTCAGAGTCCTTCATCACACCTATACCTATATGAGGGTAATTGCAGAGGCTACCTACCCCTTCCTGGATTCTGAAAGCGAGTCTGATCGCACAAGCTTGCTTGGAGTCGAAGCAATTGCACCCGGTAGTTTTCATATTCGAGAGGAGTCCCTTAACACAGGTCTAGATCCCAACGAGGAAAAGAATGAGACAGTCGGGTATGCAGACATACACCTTGAGTCACAAGGTCTTTGGCGCGAGACGTTACATTCGAACATACACGGCATCCCTGAGTCTCTCATGACACTGTTGGCTCAGACGATTCAACTCAGCAACGAGAAAGATCACCTCGAAACTCGCGCACGCAGCAATCCGAAGCTTGCTAGTGACCTCAAAACGCACGTCAAGACTCTGGAGGGAAGAATATGGACCTGGACAATTGAATCCGAAATAGCAATACTATCTGTGGCCGGCAAATCGCAGCCCATCGATAACGAGACGAACTTGATCACTCAACCTTCTACACAGTCAATGGTACAAGCGATGCATCGAGCGTTGATCATCTACTTCTATCGCCAGATACGCGATGTTAGCGCCATGCTCCTCCAAACCGTCATCGATCAAGCTTTGAGGTACTTGGAGTCTTGTCTTGATTCAATGGTCAGAGGCGATGACTTTGCACTTGGTATTGCGTGGACAGTCTATATTTGCGCCAGGGAATCCATATCTCCAGAACTTCAGGAGAGAGCACTGAAGTGCATCAGCATTACTGATGCCCGAGGGCTGCATCTTACTTCAAAGCCTTCTGCTGAGGCAGTTTCGTTGCTATGGGAAAAGAGGCGGCCACTGAAGTCGTTGATTGATCATAGTTTTCTCCTGAGAGAAACCTTATGCCTTGGTTGATCGGCTTAAAATGGCAGTTTGGTGAGTGATTCCAGCTTCGGGCAGTATGCTCAAAGAAGCAATGAAATAATCGAATAGCTAATTGAGATCTATCATTGCCTATATCATACTTCTTACTATCGTATTGAAAGAAATTTAAAGGCAGAGAAGGGGATTGATCACAGCTTGACTCTCGCGGTTTCGAGCAAAGCAGCCAATTCGGCCTGAGGACCCTCCTTGAGAGGAGCAAATGGCTTCCTGACTCCTCCAGTCTTCCATATCCGAAGTTCCATGCCTGATTTGATTGCAGAAGCATAGTAGTGGTGGGTTTAAAGCCACTTACAGATTGGGAAAATCTTTTCCCAGACCTCCCGACCCTTCTTCAAATCGTCCTCTACGGCTAGAGCGTTCCAACGCTCAACAGAAAGCTCGGGAATGATATTGACGGCACCCCAGATGGAACCCTTTGTGCTCGCAGCCAGAACATAGAAGGTCAGAGTGTCCCAGTCGTTGAAGGTCGTAATCTTTTGGCCGTAGGTAAAGAGCAAGTCAGTCAAGACTGGAGCACTGCCCGAGGTGTCTTTCAGGTATTTGACACCGACGTCCGAAAGTGATGCAATATTCTGGGCTGACAAAGTCAAACCGCTGATGCTCGGGATATTGTAGTAGACAATAGGTAGTCCACTTGCGGTATGGATGTCTTGGAGAAGCTCGCGTGTCTCCTCGAGGTTGTGAGCTTCGTAATAGGGCGGAATAACTACGACAGCAGCCGCGCCGGCCTGCGCGGCGTGGACAGCCAACTCGACAGCCCCCTTGCTCGTTAAGTCACCGGTGCCAGCAACGACAGGAATACGGCCAGCGGCTGACTTAATGCAAGTTTCGGTAAGAATTCTACGCTCCTCCACCGTGAGCGCAGCGAACTCTCCAGTACTTCCGCCGGGGACCAGGCCATGGACCCCGACGTCAATAAGGCGGATAACTTGCTAGTCAAGGGCAGCAACATCAATGCCTCCACCATCTGCGAAAGGAATGATAATGTCTGCGAGAATGCCCGTAAGTTCTGGAGAGTTGGCCAGTGTGACTGTGATGTCGGATGATCTTGTAAGTTTCGCATGAAGCAGATACGGCTTTACAGGAAGTAGTAGAATGAAAAGATTGCTTGATACTGACTGGGTGTGTTAGTCTCTTCAAGTTTGTTTCGGACTGAGTCAATGGAAGACTAGATACGTATTTATTTCTTCCGATGAAAGTCATCAAGCAATGTTTCAGACCCAAGTTTGCCTGCTCCTCTCGTCGCTTACGCGCATTCACTCCGCTTCCGGTACCACATATTGTTGATTATGTGCATTCGCCACAAATCGAGTCACTCAAACGAGATTAATGCCAAAGAGCAGCTCGAAAGAGAATGGATAGAAGATCTACGCGTATTGCCTCTCCAGATCTGTCTTCTCATTCACCCGATGAGGTACATTTTGTAACGGTCGTTGACTAGGAAGCTCCCTTTTGCAGAAGCAGAGGGGGGTGGGGATTCTCCTGGAAACGGCCTCGTATCAAAATCTCATCCAAAAAGGGCAAGTTTCCACGCCGGTACTCCGTAGAAGCTGTGCATATTAGCTTGGATCACAAATCGGCAAGCCTCATGTTTGTTTCCATCTCTAGCAGCTCTTGTTCATGATATGTGATTGAGAATCTCAGTGCAGGCATCAAAAGGGTGCTCCTCACATAAACCGCAATTACCTGACTATCTCGAATAACTAAATGCACACACCAACTCAGTGTCTTAGCTGGTTTTTGCCTTTCGAAATGTTACGACTGCGGCAAAGTCGAGGAAAATTCAACCGCCACAAAACATAATATTCCAGAGTTTCATATTTCCAGCACAGTAGAGAGTACTGCTAATGTATGGCACCCACGCTAAGGAGACGGCAATTGCCTTCCCACCCCCAATTTTCGACTTATTCGCATTGAGAAGACGCGCAGAGCTGCGCGAAATGTGAAACGAGTCGAAAGATCACTATCTTGGCGTGGATTGGCTCTTCACTCTGAAGCAATTCTTTATTACAGATTTCACATGGGCGACATGCGTTAGACGTATCACGATTTAGGATCCTCTCGCACAGCGCGTCAGTATTCTTAGTGATGTCCTCCTGGCTCTTTAATGAAATAAAATGTTTCTTTCGAGAGGACTTGCTACCGTCACCGAGTGGACCATTTAGCAGTTGCCTGCAACACACCGACCGTATCTGCCCTTGCCGTTATGTAGTGGATCGCAGTAGGCGAGACTGAATGTGGCTGTCCACATTGACATCGAATACTGCAAGTGAATTACTAAGATGTTGAAAGAGCTTAGTGTGAGTTCAGCGAGGCGGATAATACAGAATTGGGGTCAATAGACCCGACTTAGTGAGACAAGCAGAATAAGACTTCAACAGAATGCGCAAATATGACTTATCACGTTGAACCTCGACCCAATGAATAATATCGTTAGCTACATGTGAGAAGCAAGCGCTGAGCTTCATAGACTCTCACAGGCTCTGAGATGGTGATAGGGATGCTTTCTGCCGAGACCTTTGATGAAGAGCATGGCACTCCTGTAGAAGTCTGAATGCATTTTAATTGATCAGAAACCCATCCGAGAAGCCGAAATTTGGCATGGCGTTTACCATGCCGTGGATGATATGGTTTCATGACACGTGAACCTTGGCCTATGGAATGGATCGGAGACATGATCTAGGCGTTTGGAATCCACGAGTACATCAGTTCGATGGGGCTTGGGGGCCCTGAGCTGGAAGTGAGTCAAAGCAGGATGCACGCTGCAGAAGACTACCTTTAACGAAAATATACATGCCATTTACACAAGCTTTCGTAGAAAAGCCAATGAAATATGTAAGGCATCCATGGCTGAGTTGGGAATACCATTGGACTTGGGGTGTCAGGTCAAGCAGGGGTACTAGCCGTGTGTTCAGCTCCTCCTCGATCAAGTGACCCATCATGTTTTTGTCGGTTCCACTCGGACTCGCCGTTCTTCTATGAGAAACTTTTTAGACATTTTCAAGCAGAAGGAGACAACTCATTCACTGCCAAAAAGAGTAAACACCGTCCCAGCCGCAGGTACAACATCCTCAGATGAGCCAAGTGTATGAAGTGTACGTTCCTTTTTTTTTTCCCCCACAAAATATGCCTTCCAGACCTTGATCCAGGCTCTCGGAGGGGATCGGGTTCCTAGCCTCCAGGAATCGAAAGTCGGCTACGTTCACCGCGGCATCGGAGAATTCTTTTTTCTGAGGAATGCCAGGGGTCCCAACATGGTTAATGGGGTTAAGGCAGGGGTATTTTCAGCTAGTGGGGAAGACGTTTCCTATCTTGAGATCGTTCGGGGCTGGTCACACTAGTTCGCAAACTAGTGAGTATCCCATGTTAACCATCAGCAAACCAACGTGAAAAGTACGTCGGAGTAAGCTAGCTAATTTGACCATGTGAGCGGGTGGCAGCGCACCGTTCAGGCCTAGGTGTTGGCTCCCGTACGGCTGCACCCGCAGTAGCGGCCAGACGATAGCTTGAAATGACCGTTCTGGACTGTTGTATCCTAGTTGACAACGTCGCAATGCAGCAAGCACCCCGAAAATAGGGCCAGAAAAACGCATGGCCTGACAAGGTACGATTTGAGCTTACTTGAAATTGGTATTGTTAAGCCGAAGGATTTTGTCTCACTTCGGAGTCGTATGGAGATGGACGTCCCGAAGTAGAAACAAGCATCTCTTGAAAGGGAATGCAGGGAGATGGGAATGCTTGCTGAACTATGCCATTCAGCTTTCGGATCCAAGCCCACGGTACCGTCAAGACATGGTGGATCATGGAGCATTCTGGGCATGAGTCTCGTGGAGAAGAAACTCCGCTTCGGTCTCGTCCGAAGCTTAGAGTAAAATCTAGCGAAGCATTGGGGCTTGCTGAACTATACGAATTTCAGCTGCGATGCTTCTAGCCCAGTCTGAGCAAAATTGCGGTCTAGACAGACTCAAGAGCTTGAAGCATGAAGGCATACACAGAGCTATCATGTATATAAACCACTGGTCAAACTCGAACAGAATATGTTTCTTACTCACTCATCACCTCGACTGAAGCAACTTTCACCTTCGCCTATCACTCTACACAGCTTGCAGTCATACAATACTTTGAAAAGAAAATCAAAATCCTCTCACCTCAGGTTCTTAACTTCCGCTACGATGAAGTCCTCCATCATCACTGCCCTCGTCGGCGGCATCATCGCACAACGTGCTGCCGCCACCCCTGCGGACGAACTCTTCGCACGTCAAGCCGGCTGCAACCGTGACAACTGCTTCCGTGCGCTTCTCGGTTCCAAGCCCGGCCCAGCTTCGGCATCGGCAGACTGTTCATCATGGATGCAGGTCACTGAGACTCCTTGCACTTCAACCGCAACCCAAACGGCCACCGTCGTATCGTACACCACCACCTTGGCCAATGCCTATCCCGGGCTCAAGAAGATGAAGCGCGAGGAGATCGAGGCTCGCCAGGCCTCGACTACCACCGCTGCTGCCCCGGTCTGCACGCCCGCTCAGAACCGCCCAAGCAGCATGCCGGCCTACGCCGAAACGGGTTGCAAGAGCACCATCGGAACACTCGTTCCCACGGCGCGCTACTCGTCTGCCTGCTCCTGTGACGGCATCACCGCCACAACCACCACGCTGGCTACCCCAGTCACCACTATTACTGTCACGACCACCGTCGAGGCTGCCTTCACGCCCACGGCCACACCCACGGCATTCGTCCTGCAGGGTTCCGGTGACCGGAGCCTGTATGTGACAGTCGATGGTCAAGGCGCGCTCCGCCTCGTCCGCGATGCGTCCGTCGCTACACCATTCTATGTCGACAAGGCCGGACAGATGCGCAACTTGAACAGCCCGGACAAGGTCCTCGTGGACTACTACCAGCCCGACCCTGCCACGGCCAACGACAAGGTTTACAGCGACTTGCAGGGCACCGGAAACTACCCCATCACTTGCTCGTACACCGGTCGCTCTGACGGTGCGTACTACGGCAACTGCCAATCGAGCGGCTCTCCTACTGGAAACCCTGTTGTCTATGGCTTCGGATACTGCCCGAACCAGGGCGGATACGTCTACATGATCCCCAACAACTCGAACGTTCGCTGTGCTGGAGGTTATGCTTTCCTTGGCTTCTGGCTGCAGGCATACACCAAGGCCTGAAGAATTTAGGAGCTAGTTGGTTGTGTTTTTTATTCTCAAAGAAGACAATTCGTATGAGACTGTTTCCTCTCAAAGAACTTCTTTGCTCAAAGAAGCTATGGGCCTTCAACTTTTCCTTAATTTATAGCTTTTGATAGTTCATCGTGGCGTTTCAAATTCCAATTCATTACAAGTTTAAATGGTGTACTTTGAGAAGATTTAAAGATGAGATCATGCGTGGTTTGCATTGTTATGTCGTTGAAACGTTAGCTAAAAGTCGAAGTTCTTGTCAGAGATTCAATTGCCCGCTTGTACTTCAGTCCGTACGCTGAGCCACCAACTCACACTCGATGAGATTTTCAACATCAGACTGGCCGCACTTCCAGAACTTGACGATTCTCAAATTCAAACCTCTCTCCTCAACCAGCTGGTGCCAGTGGTCTTCAGTGCGTTCCAATGTCGAGAGCTGGGTCATCATCAGAATATCGCCCGCTGTGGCCTCCCATCAAGCACCCGTACGCGGAATAACCACCTCAAAAATTCAACATTTTGCTGTATCCGGGCTTCATCGCCTCTGCCAGGGAAGCTAGAATCTTCTTGCATACGTCATCTGGCCAGCCGTGCACGATTGAGTGCATGAAGTAGGCCTTTGCGCCTTTGATAGGCTGCTGGATCAGGAAGTCGTGTCCCATCAGCTCAATGCTGGTGTCAATGCCCTCGACGTCGTTGATGACGACGGGAAGATCCTGAAGGATGAGTTTCTGCTTGACTGCTAGCAAGAATTCAAGAGACTATATTGGGCCTCAAACAAGATAAATCCTGTGACGGGAAGAACTGACGCCTGGATGATTCGGATACATTTTCTTGAAATCGTCAATGTCATGGCCAAGGCCACCGGCCACATCTACCAGAAGTGTTGCGTCGGGCGAGCTATCTGCATCGGGAACAGGATCGAATTAAGGAGCAGACCTAGGAAAAAGGTTGATGTGTACGGGTTCACGATGCATGCCAAGGAAGACAGTGAAGAGAGCATTGTAAACCCAGAAAAGAATGCGGAGACATCCTCTTCTAGGCGCCAGAGTGATACGTATCCCGAACGAAAGGACAAAATTGTCAAGAGTAGCACCGTCACTATTACATACGACCAGGGAGAAGAAGGACCGACTTCATCAGCAACGCGATGGGCTGCAATATGAGTCAAGTTAGAGAAGATAGCATCACTGAGAATTGAGTTCAAGGTATCGACCCTAGGAACTTAGGGGCAGTGAGGCAATCTTTAGCCAGCGCGACTGCATTTGCCCCCCGGCTTTCAGCCCTTGTTGATCAAGTAAAGTGAGACTGCTGCGTTGCGGAAGACGCCAGTGACAATCCAGTATCGTATCAAAGGACATTGGAACACGCTGAATCAACGGCTGCTATGTCCCAAGAGAATATGAGACGGGGACGAGCCGCAAAGCCGCCTTCGTTGCGCTGATCTCCTAGCCAGTCAGGTTTCAGAAACGTTGCTGAAACGGGTGGGGGTCCTCCTCGATGCCAAGACCAACACACGGCAAGAGGCAGCTTTTTCATCCCATGTCCACAAGGCGGGATACTTTAACTCCACGTCAGGCAACTGACAGAAATGCAAATTCGTCTCATAAAAAATAGAGGCTCCAAATTTTAGGTTTCCTTACACCTTTAGACACACATGATGCTGTCTCCTTCATTGCTGTTTCCTCTCGCGTTCGCGTCTTACACGGTCGCATCAGAGGCCCAAGTATATCGGGGCGGGGTACGAACATGCCCTTGGACACCACTCGAGACGCTCTTAGAATGTTCGACTTGGGACATTGCGACAGAAAGAAAGCAAGATACGGAGACTAGGCAGAGGCCACGGAATGAGACGACAGAAACTGAGCCATTAGGATGGACGGGGCCTCACGGGTGCGCAGGAGCCTACTGCTTATACGCAAATCGCGGTTTTGCAAATGGGCGTGGGATCGTCATCATCTCGACACCAGAAAACGTGCAGAAAGCAAAGAGCTTGGAACAAAACCTACAGACTCCAAACCGAGAAGATGATCCGTCATCACGGAATCCATCATTCCAGATCGCAGAGGTAGAAGGCAAGGGACTCGGCATGCTCGCCAACAAGACCCTTGCCCGGGGCGACACAGTCATGCTCAAGACGCCAGTCCTCCTCGCTCACCGCGCCTTCATCGAGCGCACGCCAGCAGCAGACCGACACTTCCTCCTCGACAGCGCCACGAGCTTCCTGCCAGCTGCAACACGCAAGACCTTCCTCGACCAGATGGGACATTTTGGCGGCCACAAGGTCAGCGATATCATGGCGACCAACTCGTTCCAGATGGACCTCGGCGGCGGTGCGCAGGGTGACGGCCACCACTACGGCAACTTCCCCGAGGTGTCGCGGTACAACCACGACTGCCGCCCCAATGTCGCCTTCCGCATCGACGGCCTGCGCCACCGCACCACCATCGTCAGGCCGGTCAAGCCTGGCGAGGAGCTGACGATATCGTACCTCGACCAGCTTGGCGTCCGCTCCGTGCGGCAGCACCGCGCCAAGAGGGCGTGGGGCTTTGAGTGCGGGTGCTCGCAGTGCAGCCTGACTAAGAAGCTCGCCGCCGCCTCGGATCAGCGGCTGATGGAGGTGGAGGAGCTGGAGAGGCAGCTCTCTGATATCGGCGCCAAGGTGACCGTGGCGACGGTGGAGAGGTTTTTGAAGCTGTATAAGGAGGAGAGGCTTGAGTCAAAGCTGGCTGGCGCGTATACGACTGCGGCGCTCAACTTTAATTTGCTTGGGAGGAATAAACTGGCTGTCAAGTATGCCAAGCTAGCTGTTGAGGCTGGTACGATTGAGAGCGGGTCAGAGACGGGGGATGTCGAAGCGATGAGGGAGTTGGCGGCGGATCCGAAGAAGCACTTTACTTGGAGAGGGAGGCTTAGATGAGGAAGTATCCAATCGAGACTCATGGCCGGCTTATGGTTCCTTGGAATAGACGCACTCAAGGCTCTCATCCCACTCTTTTCGGCCCCTTACCACTGCCTTTGAGAGCCTTGAAATCGCAGTGAAGTCCGATCAGGTACGGTACATTTGAGACAGCTCCAGTCATCGCCTCAGGGAAGGTTAAAATCGCAGTGAAAGGCCGGAAGAGCCAATCGTACAAAAAGCGCATTGTGTATATCGTGATCTGGTTCAAATCGCAATGAAAGGTCGGAAGAGCCAATCGCACAAAAAGGGCATCGTAGAATATCGTGACTTTGGCGAGGCGAGGGTGCATGTTGGCAAGGGCTCACCCATCCATTCTCTGAACTAGCTGGGTGGTGCCCCATGAAGGAAGCTTTCCATACCGAAGGAAGGAAGTTATTAAGAGCAGACATAGATCTTCACTGCAAAGAGGAAAGCATGGCTCGTGAACTCCTCTCGAGAAGAAGCTCTTAGTCAAGAGCATACCAACAACAGGGATTCATCCCAAAAGGGAAAGCAGCAGAGTCAAGCACCCTGCCACAACCCGAAATGAGACACCTTGTCGTCCTGTCACGGTCAGCAATAACATTAGACCCTGCATGCGTACTCCATAGCTCCACGTGGGTCATGATAGACGCAGGTTGACGCAGGTCCAGACTATAAAGAGCATTCGACCCAGTCAACTCATAATTCTCGTCGAAACATTCGTTACCAAGCTGCTGTGCAGCTTATTTAAATGTAAAATCTCAGATCCTCCCGTGACGTTTTGTAAAGAACGCGCCCCAGGGCCCAGGCTCGAACGCAGATCCGGGTCCCCACAGGAAGCGGGTTCCCTCATCTAAGTCCAACGGGCCCCATCACGATAACCTTTCGGCAGATCCGGGCTGCGGGCCGTTCAATTGTTTCTCGAATGGTTGCCGCGCGGCGAGTCGGCCGAGCCGTGGTTCTTGGTCTTAAATGTGACACAGAAGCTTGAGGGGAATGCGGCTGTTTTGAGCAGGTTATCCTACGTTGACGGTAGAGCGCAATTCCCAGATCGTCGACTGATTGCTGGGATTGTTCTGGGCTCTGGGTGGTTTCGTGGTGTGAATCCCATCGGTATAAACCTAAATGACAACTACATCACAAGAGAGATCATCAAAAACTAAATACTATTTAATTAATCTAAGGGCACGAGGAAGAATGTTGTTAAAAGCTGGTAAGGTTATCGTGATCGCTGTTCTACTGCGTAGGGCGTGCAAACGTCCCTGAAGATCGTTTATTTTGGGTCATGGGGACTCCGCCAAGACACCCGAAACGGTACAATGTCAAGCTCTTTCGCTGTTTGTGGTGAGCCCGGTGAGCTCGGTGAAAGAATGATTCGCTGAAACCTGACTCGCCCAACGGCGTGTCCTCGTATGATGGAGAAAAGCTCGGGGCATGAATTTCTGGACCGGCATGTTGTATTATATTGGAAGCCCAATGCAACTCGGGACAGGCGCCCTTCCCCTAGTCGCAGAGAACGGTCTGCCCGCGCCGTCAACTGCATCCAACAGAGAGGGGCGTTCTTCCCTCCCACTTCCTTCTTGCGATGGTGGATGGGTGTCTCACGCGCACAGAAAACGCCGGCAGTCCGGGAGGGAAAATAAAAAGATCGAGATCAAAGACACGGGACGCTAGCCCCAGGAACAAGGAACATGGCGGCAGAGAGGAAAGTCGGCGCCGTGGGCTGGAGAAGGTTCGCTGTGCGCTGGACGTCCTTGTGACGGGATGACAGGCGGGCGGGTGAGAAAGGGACGGGGCTTGGTTGGTGGTGTGTCAAGGTGTGGGGAGGCCCGAGGTGCCGGAGAGCCCACTCCGGCCTGGTCTGGCGAATAGCAATGGCGCTTTCTCGGCCGATGCGGAATTTTTGAGCATCCACCCAGCCACCCCGGCCACGAGCCAGTGACGTAGCTGTGATGGTCCTCGGCGGGATCCACGCTCAACTTCTTGTCTTTTTTTCTTCCCTACTGCGATGTACTAGCCCTAGCACGCCTAGCTTTGAGTCGTATCGCGAATTAACCTTCTGTCCGGCATCGCCAGCTTGTTTTTTTCTGATCGTCTAGGCCTTTTGTTATGGAGAAATCTCAATTGGGATACCTGGTGCTGTGCGGGCGACCAACCCCCCGCCCTCCCTTCCTCCTCTCCCGTGTAAGACAAGACGTAATGTTCCCTCCAGATGAGGAAAGTCGAGACCAGGGTTGTGGTTTGATTCATCAAATTCAAACGGGCCTCCTTGCTCGAACTAAAACAATTGATCAAAACGGCGCATCAGAGACAATGGTCCCCGAGACGCGGTGGACCCCGCGTTGGGTAAATAGCTTCTTTGTCTTGGACGTAGGGAATGGCGGTAGAGCTGGAGGTAAAACAAGCTTGAACTAACACTCGCTCAGGCGCAAAAGCTTGAAGTCCCCTCAAACCCGGGTTACTCGCAGTTCGGCAGACCAAGCTACCGAGGGAAAATACTGCATATCTGCGTCGTAGTCCGTGGTGTTAGTCCAAGATTTATCCTGCAAACTCGAGCGGGGGGGGGGGGGATTCGACCAAGAATTCCGTCTGCCTTTCCTGCGCTTGTTCAATGCTACCCGTCAATGCCCATGGCACGAAGAAAATGTTTCCACTCACACACTTGTTCACTTTGCTCCCCGGTGCTGTTGGCTCTCATCACTGGCTCTTCGTGACATCCCTACCCCTGCTTGTCACATCCATAAGGCCCATGAATTGCAGGCCCGGGCTTCCCACCCAGCCCCATTCAATCGTCCTCGCCGGGGGGTGGCCTTTGAGAAGTTCGCTTGGCAGGTTTGCAGTGAGCCATACCCATAAGGTTGCCCTGCCCTTCTCTTATTGGAATGCGCTCATTATGGTAGACGGGCGTCATATTCCTGTCACCAACTACATACTATTTATCACTTGTGTCCTTCCCTCCCCGCCCTTTGCAAGGTCTAGCTCAGCTGTCATCTGAGGTCTCATCTTCCTTCGGGTGTCTTTACTAGACTTCACCCATCAACGGCCACTCACACATAGCTCCCACCAGTCCTACAACATCAGTCATACAACATACACCACCATCCAAAATAAACATATTCTCAACACAATGGCACCGATAACACCAATCTCACACACACTCTCGGCCCTCGCCGCAGGTCTCACAAAACGTCACCCATCAGACTTCCTCCCACCAACAAGAACCCTCCCCTCCCCCCTCCGCGCCATCCTCGCCTCCCGCCAAGTCGTCACGACAATCACCTCGACCCCCGAGACGACAGAAGAGTCCGCCTCCAACAACAACCTCAGCGGGGGCGCCATCGCCGGCATCGTCATCGGCTCCATTGCCGGCTTCCTCCTCCTGCTGTGGATCGTCAAGTCGTGCGGCATGTGGAGCCGGCCCAACGACTGGTCCGAAAAGGACGAGTACGACGAGCGCAGTCGCCGGTACCGCGGCCGATCGCCCGGCTCGAGGCATCGCAGACGCACGCAGCACCGGTACCACCACGAGACCTCGAGGCACAGCCATAGCCGGCGCCCGTCGTATGTGGTTGACGAGGTTCGGTACACGCAGCCTGTTGTCGTTGACAAGAGGAGGAGGGCTAGCGGGTCGCCTTTGCCGCCTGCGAATGTGTACCGTAGCAGTCGCAGCAGGACGAGATACTAGACACGAAGGAGGGGAGGAAAGCTGGGCTCCTCTGGTGAGATGAGGACCCAGCTGCATGATTACATGCTGTTGTTGCGAGGTGTCTTCGGGTTGATTCCAGATTCCCGAGGACTTTTGTTTGTGTAACCAAGACACAAGGAGCGAACACAACTCTTACGACTTTATGAAATGTATTTATTTGCGTGCGGTACAATGTAATTAGACCTGATACCAAGAGCAAAGTCATCTGTATACATCAAGGACGTCTCTCCCTTGCAAGCCTCGTATATGACATGTGCTAGAATTGTGCAGACGTGGTGGCTTTTCGCGTATTCATCTCATATCCTGTGCTTTGAAGTCGCATCCCACTTTCGAAGTGTAAGGGAATGCATAAGTACGCAGTGTCGCAGAGTCTGATGTAGTACCAAGTTCGCCGTGGACGGAAGAGTATCAAGACTTTGCGACGCCGGTGAGGAGGGAAGCTTATCATCTCGTAAGTAAGTGACTGTCAGAGCAGCGCCCAAGATACCTCAGATTCAATGACTAACACTTTAGATGATGCCCAAGAGGCCTGGGGGCCATGTCTCAGGTTGAACACTGATAATGAAGTTACATTGACCAAACCTTGCTACTATAGTAGATGAGCTTCCAGCGCTGATTGAGATACGAATCCTATCATTTCGAATCGTCGCCGTTGTCATGTTACTAGCTACCAAGAGCACTCAGATGTCGCTACAACATCTGCCACATACGAACATAGCCATGATTCATTACCCGCACAAACGGTTAGCTAGAGTTGTAGAGCTGAAGTTGCCTGTATTACCACACAAAGGCATCCCTCCATCTAGTAGAAGGGATTAGAAGCCTTCTATATCCATGTAACCCATTGCCTAATCCATGACTCCTAAAAGTGGATGTCTCAATTCCCAAGTATAACGCCATTCCCATATTCTTCATCATAATGTTGACAGCACAGAAAGCCCGGATGCTTAGCTCAGCCCGACTTCGTCTTGTTCTTCTGAACCCAGTCGGCCCACTTCTTGTATTCGCCATACTCCAAAGACTCCTTCTTACCCTGATATCGCACGACCTTGAGCTCGACGTCCTGCCACTTGCTCTTGCTGCCCATCCACCCCGCCTTGCGCATGAGGCTCACGAGCGTCTCCTCCTTGGTCCACTCCTGCTCGACGGCGACGTCGGGGAGGTACGTCGCGCCGTAGCGTTTCCCGTGGTAGAAGAAGCTGATGCGCAGGCCGTGCACGCCGAGGGTCCAGTCCATGGCGTCGTCGGCGTCCTCAAAGTCGGTGAGGAGGGTGACGGCGACCTCGAGGGAGGGGAGCTCGGGGGCCTCGACGGGCGGGAAGCGCATGTCGTGCAGCGCCGAGGTGAGGGCGTAGCTCGACAGGCCGTCGGCGAGGTCTTGTGCTTCGAAAGTGCCGATGCAGCCGCGCAGCGAGCGGTGGCCCGAGCGGGGGGAGACGGTGTTCCAGGTGACGAAGAGGGGGGACTCGGAGATGTCGTCGGTTTCGTCGTCTTCGGCGAGGGAGTCGGCGGAGGTTGCGGGTGTCTCGGCGGAGAGGGAGATGCTAGAGCCGGAGGAGGCCGAGGCGGAGTCGCTGGAGGGTTCGGCAAGGCGTTGCAGGGCCGGGATGAGCTTCTTGCCGTCCTTGCCGTCACCGAGGCCGGGTGACAGGGTTTTGGCGTATTCGGGCCATGACTGTTTGATCTCCTTGAGGGACAGTCCCGGCCGCTTCTCCAGGTGCGAAGCCAGAGCCTCGAAGCAGCAGAGGCAGTGTTCCACGGAAGCCATGAGCTCGTTTCAAAAGAATCTGGCGGGTGGTGTGAGGTGACAGTGGTGGCGATGGTGGTGGCGTGTCTTCGGAATGAGACGCAGAGCTACAGGGCGTTCCAGAGAGTTGTTCGGGCTGGCGACCGCACGAGGTTCAGCAGGGGACGCGGAGATGGACGAGATTTGCAGTAGTTGAGTACGGAAGAGAAGGAAATGGGGATGGCGAGGAAAGCTTCCCCCAAGTGAGGTCAGCTCGGGCCGGGGAGGGGCTGCCTGCTTCGAGTATACCTTAGGTATGGTAGCTCGAGGTGCTGATCAGCGCTACGTACCGCTTCAAACCCCACTTCAGATAACGGAACCCCGCGATTTGGCCCCGGCGGTTGTGCAGTTCTGGGGCAATTATGTCGTGAGATGTCACCGGGCACAATTTGCATAGCTCGGTTATGCTATGCTGTGCTGTGGCTGACGCAGGCTGACTGCTCCATATGCCATGCGCCACATATCATCAGCCACACCTCTCGATTTCTGGATGACTAAGTTGCTGAGTGCCTGTGAACAGAAGTCGAGGAGGCAGTCGGCGCTAAAAATACTAACGGGCCGCTCTAATGATTTTCCCATATCAAACTCTCCCTGACGTCGATGTAGCAAGGGTCAGCCAGTTTCGAAACGCCCCCTGAACAGGAATGACACTGGTCCGAACGCCTTCTTCATCCCGTCATTCCGCTGTCGAAGAAGTGAGCCGCCCCCTGGAACCGGTCTGTTCTCTACGCCTCTCCTGTCTCTCGCAAGGACGAGAAAGTCTGGACCATCCCACGTCCCGGGAGCGCCATTCCCACTGATCAACCTCAAAGCCAAGCTTCACGAATAAGGTACACCGGGGTGAAGACTTGGCAACATGCAGCGGCCGGGGTAGCGTCCGCCGCAGTCCCTCGACTCCCCCTTCGAAACCCCGCCTTCCCCTGCTGACTTTGCTACCGGAACTTGCTGAAAGCGAGCGGCTTACTGTCTGATCTTCGCTCGTCCTAGCCTTGGGCAACAGGGGTTGCGGCTTGCGAGAGAGGAGGATCGATGGGCTTCTGTGACAAAGGCACTCATTTTGACTAGTGGGGCCACTGCTACGCGGCTTCTTCGTCACAGCCCAGTTTCAGACGTTGCCCCATCGTCCCCTCTGGAGTCCTCTACTCCCGCGATCAAACCTCACCCCAAAAAGATGCCGATCTATCCACTTACCTGACGTGGGCTTGAAGCAGACACCAGGCGGACAGGCTGGGGAAGATGGAAGAGATGAGGACAGAGGAGGAAGAGAAGTCTCCAGATGATAGGGATGGGCCAGTCAATCAGCTCCATATCCCATGGTTTCCTCAACTCTCTTGTTCCAAGTCTTGGCACCGTTCCTGTAAGTGCAGATGACACGCCGGGAAGTCCCTTGTTTTCACCCACGTCGAACTTGGCCTCGTCTGGAAGAGCTCGCGGCTGCCTCCTTCGTGGATGACCAGGGCTATTGAAAGTTGCGAGGGCAGGCGGGTCGCGGCGACCACGGCCAGGGATGGAACCGGGCGTTGGGAAGCCCTGACCGCTTGGTCTCAACTTCATGGTGCGGGAGCGACAGGACTGTAAAGTTCCAGTCAGAATTTGGATGGCAGATCTGCGTGTGTGTGGCCGTGTAGCCGTGCGCTATCGGTGTTCCTCGTCTATAGCGTCCTTGTCTGATGTGTGATGTCGATGGTGATACTTGGCACAGAGAGACCCCCCTGAGGGGACGGGGGGCGAAAGTAAGGTATGTGGGCTTCATCGATAACATACAAATACGTCCGTCTCCTTGCCGTGTTCTGTTTCTTTCGATCTTGTTAGTCAACCAACACTCTCTCTCAACGTACTTGACTTTTACAACCTTCTCTTCTTGTACAACTTATCTGCTCGTCGCCGGCCGACCACTCGTTCCAATCAACAACTTTTCCAACCAACCGTCAAAATGAAGTACTCCGTTTTCACTCTTTTCGCCGTTGCCGCTGCCTTCGTTGCTGCCGCTCCTACCGAGAGTACGTTGCCATCTCGATTTGGCTATAATGGATGAAGCTTAGGGAATACTAACATGAGCTCAGTGGTCGAGAAGCGCCAGGCTGCTTCCACTGTTCCCGTCAACGAAGCCGCCATGACGGATGCCAACGGCAACATCGTTCCTTTCAACACTGCCGGCGTTTACCAGGCCAACAAGGAAGCCGGTCTCTAAACAATCAAGCCAAACCGACTTAAAGAGAAGGATTGGGAAATAGAGCCCGACGGACACTATCACGAACTGCAAAACGACAACACAACATTATTAAATACGTCCATAAACTCGTAATCTGGCGGCAATACCGGTATGGAGGGTTACAGGGCGATATAGGCATCATGGCAAATCAATCAATGATTTTGGCTTTACTTTGAATTTTGGGACCGGAACCAGAGGAATGGGTGACAGACAATATCCCCCCGCCTTCTGTGGCAGATAATTCTGAAATATAACCTGGCAGTCAGTAGCACGCCGCTATGCGGTTGTCACTGGCTTCCAGTCTTTTCTCACAGGAGTCATTCTTGCAGTACCCCTCGCGCTCTCTCCTTTCCATGCTTGCGTCAGCGGCATCATCTCTGATGTGTGTCAATCAATGCGCCAGCCAAACTGTCACTCACCATCCATCACGTCAAACTGACTCGGCAGGTGATCAGCCTCTCGAACATAACCGGAAGAGGAAGTGTCCCGACGACGGTTGCTATCTTCTGCTTACTGCAAACTTGGGAAGACCTAGGCTCGAGGAAGACCACAACTTGGCTGTAAGCTTAAACGCGCCAAACCCACTCCATTTGGGCGGTGGCAGGGGTACGCCTGAGAGGGGCAGCATGCGCAGCTCGCTTCAGACGCCTAGCGCAGTGGGCACAACGACCTGTCTCCACGAGTAGTGAGGAACTGGGGGTCCGGTTTCTCGTCTGGTCGCTCAGCCACGCTACATCGTCTTGCGAAGCGGGTTCTCTTCCTGCTTTGATACAGCTGCTCCGCTGAATAGCCTGCTGCGTTGCGGACGGGGCTCGGTAATGCGAGTGCCTGTTTCTGGATGCTCCATGGATTCATTATTTTTCCAGCGAGCCCCATATGTCTGGATTGTAGGCTGAGTGCAATCGCTGTCACGGCAATGCTGACCCGAGTCTCTGGTCTGTTGGGGCTGGTTGGCAACAACAGACAGGGCCGCTCCACACCGCCTATATGCAATGGTCAAAGGTCGATAAGAAAAGGTCGAGATCATTTGGGGCTCAATAGAGTTTGTGTCTGATGTTTCGTTGGTGTTGGGGCGATTGTTTGGGGGCGTGATGCATCGCAGACAAGGACGTTACATTCCGGGCATCTGGGTCGTTGACAACTTCAGAGTTGCTCAGTTGTCGGCTGATGGAGGACGATCCAACGAAAGTCAATTGTCGATGATACTGCTTCTTGACGAGCTGACGTCTTTGACATGAACGTGACGGGACGGGCGGAGGACAAGGATTACTGCTTTGGCATGGCCAGGCGTCCGATTCGTGCCTTTGGCGAGTTCGTTATCGTCTGAAACTGACTGCTTGACTTGGCTGCTCATCAAGTCATGCCAGCCGGTTGCCGTTCTATAACGGTGTGCTTGATGCCCTATGGCGATCTTTCATGCTTCCGCATCACTTTTCCCGCCGTACCAGGCGTTCAGATGATGTCTTCTCATTTGATCAGCACACGAACGGAAGCATTGACGTTGAGTCTCCCAATTGAGACATTATTTGGGTCGTCTAAAGGAAAGATTTAAAGTTGAACAGGTAAGGGGAAAATGCTAAACAGAGATGGAAGGCACAGACGAGAGACAAGGTGGCGACCCACCTTCTAGTTTCCATCGTTTGGGAAGGCTCGATGGCTAGGTATTGCAGTGCACAGCCCTCTCTCGTCACCTCAGGCGTTGACTCACTTGCTTCTTCCACCGTCTTCCAATTCCGCGCTCACCTCCAAACGTGTCTTGGTCGTTTCTTTTTACCAAGACTGTCTGGTAGCCGATGGTCTCGACTGCAGACAAACTAACAATAATCTTCCGAGCTCCCTACCCTACCCTGCCATACCACAACATTGCACCAACGACCCAAACGATGGGTACTTGTCCCGTTGCGTCGGACTCCAGAGTCACATCCAATGCAACCAAGTGGGTTAGGGACAGACCCAACCTCAATGAAGCTCGTCGTAAACAATCCGGCCTCGCCATGGCATCTCACCTTTCCCATCTACGGTCCTCATCGAGATAAACTCGCGCAAAGTCCTCGTGCAAAGCTGCAGCCTTGACGGATCACAGCCTCACCGTCCCATGCAAGGACAGCACAAGAGATGAACAGATTGCAATAGAAACCAGGAACCGGACGATGTCTCTCGTCCCTGGCGTCAGCAGTGAGACGCTCGAATTAGCCTTGAACTAGACCGCTTTCAACATTTCTCCCCACCCTGTCAGCCCTGCTGAAAATGCCGTTGGTTTCTTGGGGAGGAGACCAGAGCTCAGAACAGGCTGAACAGCCAAGGAGAAGTCACCACATCATCAAACAGACCAACAAGACCGGCCCAGTCACCCACGTTCGGACGTTGGACCAGCCAGTTAGTGGGAACCCCTCCCCACCACGACTTTCACTAGTTACAGCAGCCCTCGATGGTCCTGTTTCGGAGACCAGTGCACCCAGAACGAACAAAACGTGTCTGCCTGTGCCGCAAAATGATACAATCTCCAATGGGTTAGGCGGGGAATTTTACAAGTGGACCGGTTTTGGTTGATTTTGCCTGCGCAGCCACCACAAGCGCGTCTCATGCCCATCGACAGCCGATCCTGAAGGAAGACGACAAGCGCGTAGCGAGATGAAATTGGAGCCAACCCTTGATCTGCCCGACCCTCCACCTCGCTATAGAGAGCCGAAACTCTGGGACTCGCATTTCCTGTTTTGTTCGACATCAGCTAGGCTGTGAAGCTGGGTGCGCATTTGTTGGCACTGCGAATCACCTGAACAAGAAGGACTTTGCAGCCATCTGTTCGAGGTACCGCGCTTATTGCCCACTATGCTGTTGTCTGCCATGCTGTCAGCGCAGCGTCTCTGGCAGTATCAGGATGCTCGCTATTGCCTGGTCTGCGAGGGACGAGGTGGGCATGAACTGATGGCCAGGGCCGCTTGCCTGATCGAGTGATATCGATCGTATGGCCCTGACCTCAGCCGCAAACGCCATTCGATGCCTCACACAGCACAGAGTAGTGGGTGGGATGGCAACATTCCACCATTCGGCAAGATACTCGCCCTTGCGTGGTGGTCCACGGAAGGGAGCCGCGCAGGCATAGGGGTGGTGGCTATTCTCGCGGGAAGGCGTCACGGCGTTAATCTCCTCATGGCCCGAGACCCTGAGATCACCCTAGCTTAGCTGCTAGGCTCCAACAATCCAACGATGACTAGCGGAGGACCCCCGTTGCTCCCAACGTTCCCACTGCTCAGACTCCTTGAGTCCTTCTCCAAAGGTATCCATTACGCCCCCGATCAGTGCTAGGAGCTGAACTGGGCTGACAAGGGGCAGCTCACTGCGGGAACCTGAAGGGTTTGTCCAATGAAACAATCGTGGCTGTATACAGAGTACGCTTCACCGCTTTCAACCTGGAGTAGAGCGGCCCCAGATGCCCTGATGCCCAGCCAATCCGCCTAGGGCAGAAGCAAGTTGTGACTAGAGCGGTGTTTCCTGGACAGGGCTTGGTGTCCCTCGATATACTGCAGCCTGGCTGGGAATTCCTCTTGCTCATTTCAGACGTCCCGGCTTTCTGGAAGAGGTGGTTTTATATATAGCAATTTGCAGACACACTCGAATCAAGCAACTACCTGCCACCTGGGTCGCCTCATCACAGCCTCCCTTTCCGCGCTTCTCGGGCCCTGTTCCGACTGACTACCCCTGTCGTCATTGTTATGATTTTCATCCTAAGACCTTCAGCTTATAACTCCCTGTGTTCGCCTTGAGTCCAGACTAGTCTTCCTCAGCCTCGAACAACAACATCAACTCCGGCGACCCGAGTCAAAAGCCTCCGAGGAACATCATCCTTACCACAAACAAGAAACCGCAGCAATGGTTCTACACCGCCAACAAGCTCAGTTCGACCGGTCAAGATGGCGCATGGCGCTGCTTGTGCCTCTTTGGATCCTTCAGTTGCTAGTCTTCCTCGTCGTCATCGCTCTCTTCTCTTGGCGCCTATCGGATACTCTTAGGAACTGGGAAACCGAGGAGGAAACAAAAGGGATGTTTCCCATGGTAGAGGTCGTGTAAGTCAGGGTTGGGACTGTGTTTACCATCAAGTTCGTGTACTGACCCGGGTATAGTTGGGAATCTGTCAACATCGCCTTTTCCCTCGTCTGCCTATTTTCCACGTTTTACGAAATCTCAAAGCTCGCCGCCGAAACCCTGACGCCATGGACCATGCTTTTTACCCACATTTTGAAGATCGTCTGCTCCCTGGCCGTTCTAGCTCTCGATGTTGTGGTATTCGTGCAGAGAAAGGACAGCCACTACTCAGTTGTTGGTCTCGGCTTGGATTGTTTTCTTCTGTAAGCCACGCCGATAATCATGACTCCCTTAGGGACACAATTAACAACACACAGAATCCTCGTCGCCATACCAGGCGTTTACTCGATCCAGACGTATCGCCGACTCGTCAAGTACGACGACTACCATTACCCCGTAAACCACAAGCCCTACGGCTTCAACGACCTCGAAGGCGAGACCTCCTACAATGGTCGCCTTTCCATCGGCGGCCTTAGCCTTGCAGACCGTTCCCTCCGCCGGATATCCACATCCTCAACAAAGTCATCGCTTCAGAAGCAAGAAACACAACAGACGGCACAGCAACAGCAACAGCAGGAATCCGAAGCAACATCCCTACAACGCAGACCCTCGCAGTATAACAACGAAAGAGACACGCAGTTCGATAGGTATATGGTCGAACGCGCCATGAGTAATGAGTTTGGGTGGGCGAACAACAGCAGCCCCGGCGCGGATCCCCTTGGCCGAAGCGACAGCTATGTCGGCAGCGGATCAATGTCAAACGGAAAGGTCGTTACGCGGGAGAGCATGGGACGCGCGCCGAGCTGGGGCAGCTCGCACGTCCTCGTCGCCGTGCCAGAGATGGACGAGGAGGAGGCGGTGCATGGTCGTGGGGGAGATAGGCAGGCGCTTCTTGGACATCGGAGGCAGGACAGCGACGATAGTGTTGTCGGACCGAGCAGCCCACCGATTTTGTCGGCTATGCCGCCGCTACCGAGGATCGAGATCGAGGAGTCGGATATTGTTGGCGGCGGTGCTGGGGAGAACACTTGGGAGCGGAAGCGCAAGAGGAGCCAGTGATGCTTCCATGGTCCTCCAACTCGCAGAGAGAAAAGGCGGATGATTGAAAAGTGGTGGACGGATATACCCTTCTGATTTTCGAATTGTTTTCTTTCACTTCTTGCACAGACACTCGGTGTCTGATTGCAAACTTGTACACTTTTCATCTTGTTATACCACGTGGGTCACGGCGTTCCGGGTGTTGGATCGGACGACACCAAAAGGGGGAAAAGTTGGGATGGAAGAGAGATCCCAATGTTAACGAGCCACGGCTTGATTATAGATCACTCTCGCTTTTTTAAAAAGACACATTACTGAAAAGCATCGCACCGCGTTACAATTATTTTCCCCTGACTGGTCTTGTCATGCAAAGGTGTCTCCCATGGTAGGTCCGAGTGGAGGTGCGCCTCACACGGGAATCATACGTAAGGTTCATGGTCTTAACTTCGAGAGAATATGGATCTCAGGTCAGTGTGCTTGACTTGATTTGCTTACTGACATAGAGAGCCTTTCTCTTTACGGAAGCCTAAATTCTCTTACCGAAAATCGCTTCTCTGCATTCGACTATCAGCACCTCATCCCCTTCCTTCACAGGCAACCGTTTTCACGCCAGAAAATATTCTGTGAAGCGAGCGAAAGCACACACACATGAACACGTGAAGAACACCTCAAATGTACTTCATTTTAGTCAGGAACTTGGCTAAGACCGCTCACTTCCCATACCCGCTCAAAGATACCCTACAAGGATACCCATCCGTAGGATGCGCAGCGCCCGCCTCCACCATGAAAACCCTCTGCCCGCCCAACCCGCTCGTATCAATCTTCCCTTTACCGCCGTCAATCTCACCATAGCAATCCCGGATATCAAACTCCCGCACCACGCACGCCAACACGGCCCTCGCCTCCGTCATGACAAGCTGCTGTCCCACGCACAACCGCGGCCCGTACTCGAAGATCCGCCAGCCGCCCTTTGGCGGGTACAGCTCGTCCTTTGGATCCGTCACGAGCCATCGCTCGGGTACGAACTCGTCCGGCCGGGCCCAGTACCGCGGGTTCCGACCAATAGCCCAGTGTAGCATGTTGACGGCGATGCCGTCCGTCGGGTAGGCATTGCCCTCGGCGTCGTGCAGGACTAGATCCGCGCAGCCCTGGCGGATGCCGCCCGCGGGCGGGAAGAGGCGCAGGGACTCCTTGATGCAGGCGTTTGTGAAAGGTAAGGCGTTGAGCAGGGCCGGGGTTTCCGCGATTTTGGCCGGTGCCGCGGAGATATCGGTGCTGAGGACGGCGTCGTGTTCTGCGCGGACGCGGGCGAGGATGGGCGGGCGAGAGGCGATGTTGTGCAGGCAGTAGACTATCGTCGCGGCGGAGGAGTCGTACCCGGCAAAGAAGAACATGCGCATGTTGCGCGTCATGAGGGAGAGGTAGGAAGCGTCGAGCTCCCCGCGACCCGCGTTCCCGGGTTGCGCGAGCCAGTTCTCGAGGGCGCTGTCGAGGACGGATTGGAAGTTTTCCGACTTGTCGCGGTTGTGGGCTTTGTTTTGCAGAAGGGTGGCGAAGCGGGCGTTGATTTGGTGCTCGATGTGGTTGTCGAGGATGCGCCCCCCGTTCCAGGTGCGGAAGAGGAGGAAGGGGTCGATGGGGGCTAGGAGGTTCTCGGGCTTGTGGGAGGTGAATTTGAGGCGGAGCTGGCCCTTCATTGCCTCGGCGAGGGGATGTTGCTGTTTCTGGGTTTCGAGGCGGACGTTTAGGAGGACTTCGCCGATGACGTCGGTGATGAGGTCCAGCATCAGGGGTTCCAGCCTGAACATGTCTCCCTCGTCACTACCACCACCATCGCGCCGGGAGGTGGAGACCCTGGCGCGCAGCCGGTCGGTGAAGGTGGCAATGTTGCCGAGGATGATGGGCACGGCGGCGGTGATGTTCTGGTTGCTGAAGCTGGGGTTGAAGAGGGCGTGGAGGTTCTTCCACGGCCGGCCGTTCGTGTCGAACTGGCTCGGCCCGCCGGTGATGGGGTGGAACCAGCCGACGAGCATGGGGGGCTTCTGGGCGCCGGCGACCGGGTGGTAGACTGTCTGGTGGGCCTTGTCCGGGTCCGTGACGACGAGCATCGGGTCGGCCATGGGCCAGGTGTCGATGTAGTAGGCGCCACTTTTGCCGTGGAGCTCGCCCAGGCGGGCGAGGGCGTAGTTTGCGTGGACGCCCGGCGGAAGGGTGTCGAAAGCTTTCTTAGCCTCGAGGAGATTGCCGAAGAGGAAGCTGTGGGGGACGATTGGCTGTGTTTTGTGGTTAGTCTGATGTGGATTTTCGTGATAGCCTCTCATGACGTGATGTAGCGCGATGAGAAGGGCGAAGGAGAACTCACCAGTCCCTGCTTCCTCAGCTCAGCCATCTTGCCCCGGTGCTTCCTCAGAAGCCTAAAAAAGTATAACACCGATCCCACGGCGGCGACTAGGACGGCCGCCGTGAGAGACCTCAGGATGTAAGCCAAGACCCCGTCCATGTTGTGCAACTCAAACTCGATGTTGAATGTGCAAGATATGTCACCAGCCGCTGAATGTCTCGGGAGTGTCAGCCACGTCGTGCTCCACTTGGTGCCAGCTGTGATATGTTGCAGAGTTGCCCGAGTAATCTTGATAAAAAAACGCCTCCCACCGTCGACACCGTCGTCGCGTGGCACAAAGTGCAATTTCACCAACGGTTTCCGCGTGCGACGGTGCGCGGCTGAATTGACGTTTAAACTTTTGTGGAAAGAAAATTGTCCCGAGTATTTAAGCAGAGATATTTTGAGATGCAGTGAAAGAACAAACGGCGCCGTCAGTGAATGAGGTCCGCTCCGATTTAGGCTCCCGCGTAAGCATTGACTCCGTATCCGATGCTCCGTACGGAAACCTACGTCTTTTATTCACCTGATTCGTGATAAGCTAGGTCGCTTTAAGGTTCGCTAGAGCCCTATTGACCATTCCGTAGGTTACGGATAGCTCAGGAGGATTCAGGGGCCCCATTTGGGATCGGAGGCCCAGAGGGGTTGTCACTTGTCAGCAAATCATCCCGGGAAATTAAATCACCTTCCACAATGACCACAGCACCTGAGTAGGTTCGCGATAGACGAGATTGCATCAAATTCACCGTTTCCTCAAAGTTCAATGTAATAAAAGATTCAAGTTGGGGTATCTAAAAATGCCTCTAAAGTGATGAGTGTCAGAATGCAAATCCCAATTTCTTTCATTTTGAAGAGAATCCCATGGTGCGCCAGTGTTGTTCTGTGTTGCCTTTTCCTTTCCTTTTCTTCCCTAATTCCGTGATCCCCAGTCTCCCAAACTCCCGTTTCCAGAACCCAATGCCAAGGAGAAGCGTTGAATGATCCCCCCAGGCAACAAAAGAAGTAATGCTGCAGAATGCTGCCTTTCGAGTCTGCGAGGTGTTGACCCTGGCGCTGAATAATTCATCAAGGGACTTTTGCTCCTCGGGCTTGTTGTTGTTGTTGTACAAAAAGTATACGTGTTGCGATCCGATGCAGCCACAGCGACAAGGGCATGCGGGAGGATTTCCATCGGCTCATGGCGCAGAACAAGGCTTGACTATCCTTCGGACTAGATGGCTGATGTTGAGAGATTGCACATTTGAAAGCTGTGTTGCTTTTGCAGTCTCGTGCCCACCATGGCCAGATTACATCGGCAGATGGCTGGCAAATAAGATAGCCCAGTCAACGACTGTCTCTACCTCGGCACACCGCCGGCGAGGCCAACAGCAACGGACGATGTCAAGAATTCCAGGTCGTCGTATGCCTGACGCTTGCAGCCCCGTGGCGGCTTACCCTTGACAAACCCGTGGCTGTAAGCATCGCCAAGGACGCTCAGGTCTGTCGTCGAGTCTTCCGGCTGATCAAGTCTTCGCACGACAACCAGGGACGACGCACGGGACATCATCCAAATCTCGTCGCCGGACCTCGTTTGGTTGGGAACCAGCACTAGAGCGCCGTGATCCTGGGTTAAGGCTATGCGGCGACTGCGGTCCTTGACAAAGGTCTCGAGGAATGGGATGATGGGCTCTGTGCTTGCGGCGAGGGGGCCTCTGCCTGAAGCGGCGTCGGAGAGCAGATTTCTGTCGTCGAGAGCCCAGAATTGGCGGAATGAGTCAGGGTCTTCGCCAGCGCCCACGGCTTGCTCGAAATCGCCGAGGCCGGTGAGACCGTTGAGAACTGGGCTCAGAAATCTGCTGAATGACTTGACGATCTCGTCTCTGGTGAATCCTTCGGGATACCGGTCCGTAGTTATCTTATTGAGGTTGTCGCCTGACAATGTCCGCAAAAGGGTGTTCATGTGATGCTCCTCATCAGCGTTTGGTGAGCGCATCTTGTAGACGAGGGTCAGGAGCTTGACTAGGGGTAGAAGCTCCTTCATGTGAAACAGCTCTTCGGATATCTCGACAACGGTGTCAACGTAGGTGCCTCCGAGCTGGACCTGCTCCGAGAGGAGATTGCTGGCAGGCATCGTCTTGTCGATTGAGAGATTCATCGTCGTGTGCGTGTGCGTGAGTTTGGGCGCGAGTTTGGGCGTGAGTTGGAGATGGGATGGACGGTGGAATGGGTGGGTGAAGTGTGTCGATGAAGAGTGACGAGAACGAGAACAGGCGCGGAAACTGGGCGTGGCAGGAAGGGGGCATATATCAAGAAACGAAGGGCCCAGACTGTCGTCACTGTCCACAACGGCGGGTCATAGTGGCCTTATCTAGACGAGCTATGAGTTTCCGAGCTGCCGGGAGTCTGGCAGCAAGGGTTTGGTACGGATACATGGGAGAGGACAAGGGGACGAAGTGCTCTGTACCCCGTACCGGTAGGTAGGGTATTGTTGTGTAATTACACGAGAGAGACTTGAGAGCGCGCTTGCGCCTGCTTCTTCCTATCCGGGGAGCGAGTCCGGGGAGACTAAGTTGGCGTGGTTGCGTAAACCGGCGGGGCCCACTGGATGGGAAGGGCAGGATGTGCGGGTTGGAGTGGACTTGGTGCCGGTACTGACGGGACCACGAGGACCACGATGTCATGCGTTATGGAGACTGGTGAAAGCTTGAATATCGTTGGAGCTGTAGCTAGGTGAGCTGTCCGCCCGATATCTAGCTACGGATACTTGTATAGTGTATGTGTGTGTGTGTGGAATGGCGGCCATTAGTCGTGCAGAGAATGTCAGGATAAAAGCCTGGTGTCAAGGTTCGCATCAGCCGCTTGGCACTGGGGTAGTCTGCATCTTGGTAGCCGCATTGTCACTGGCCTACTGCGAGGTACAGACAGAACGAAAGTGTGCAGATGTAAGTGCATGTGTAGCGAATCCCAAGGTGAAGTAAGCAAGGATGAGATGGGAATAAGATCTCTGTGCAACGGCACATCCAAGCCGTACGAGTAACAGACAAAGTAGACAAGGCAGACTCGCGCTGACGGGGAGATGGAAAGATGAATAAAAGTTTGAGCCTTGAGGTATCCGTAAGTTGGTCAGGTATCAGGTAAACGGAAAGCAAGGCGCAGACATACACTACGCAGTAAGGGGGGAGAGACGGAAAAAGTCTGGCAGAGATGACGTCGAGAGGGGGTTCCGCTTTTGACGGGTCCCCGTTGCATTAGCGCTGCGTCTCCGTTACCAAGTGAGGTACGTTCCCAAGAAGTTAGGGGCAGGAACCGGGCACACGGACATTTTTGGTGTGCCTTCCTTGCTTGCCTGCCCTTGCCTCTGCCCTTGCCAGCCCCTTCCCTTGACTCTGGGCCCCTGCCTGCCTCATGTCGGGTCGCTCCAGGGTCCGCTCATCCAATGTCCAGCGTTGGAATCGGGAACTTGTTCACGGACGCATCAATTTGATCAAGCACATGAAGCACAGTCCTTTGAGTCCGTCCGTCAATTTCCAGCCGCTTCTTCATTTCTTCATCTCGCCTGAGACGCAACATCAAATCAGATACACATGTCCACGAGATTAGTTCTGTTTACAGCAATCAACAACAACCCTAGCGAGTCAGCAGAGGCATGCGAGGTATACCGACGCGGAATGCAAGCCAAGCTCCTGGGCAGTACATGTGCAAAGGAATAAGCTGACGCCTGACTTGCTGTTCAAACGTTCAGAGTTCAACGCTGATGTCAACCTGTCTCGCTTGTTCCGGCGATGCGGCACGCACCAACGAGTACCTATCCGTGTGTGCCGTGCCATACGGTACAATTCGTCGGCCACGGTGATCTGCCAACCCCGCGTTGATCACTCCCACGTCTCTCCCTGTCAGCCAACTTCAGACGATTCAGATCCTTCAACGTCAACCGTGTCGTGTCGTCTCGTCCAGCTCGTACCATCATCGTTGCTCTCGTTCGGCTTCAATCTATCGCTGCCGGTAATACATCCTCAAGAGTCACCAATATGGTCAAAGTCCTCATCATCATGGCCGACTACGGCCATGATCCCACAGGCAGGTGATCTTCATCATCCTCAACGCCAAGTCCCCGACATCGCCCCGGTCCTTGTCAGACTCCATCTCCATCCCCCCAATCCTCTAGCCCCGCACCAGCTCCAATCGTCCAAACATGGCAAAACCCTTACTCAGCGGGATCTGCGTTACGAACCGCAAAGCTAATCTCTCCCTTCTTGCTTCGCAGAGGTTGCTATCCCCTACCAGACCTTCAAAGACGCAGGATTCGACGTAAACTTTGCAACCGAAACGGGCTCAACGCCCCGCTGCGATGCCCGCATGCTCGAGGGTCTTTCCCAGAGGTTTCTTGTACGATGACTCTCTTTCGCAAGATGTTGTAAACGTCGTCATTGTTCGACGTCGACACAACTGCACCATGAGCGCTTGCAAATTCCTCCCTTAGCCAATATCCCGCATCTCTCCCATCCGCCGAGGCATGGCAATCTGGTGATGCAGTTAGAGTTGACCTGCTACCCGTCTAACAGGGCGCCGCGGCCTCCACGATAAAGCTCCACGATACGATGGTCAAATCTGCCGAAATGCAGAACCCCCTATCCTGGACTTCGCTGGGCTTTACGCTCGATGACTTCGACATTGTGCATATTCCCGGCGGTCACGACAAGGAAGTGAGGCAGCTCATGGACTCGACCACCGCGCAGAAGCTGCTGGCCGATTACTTCCCCCAGACCAAGAAGCCGGGCAAAAAGATTGTCACGGCTATCTGCCACGGTCCGCTGGTGCTCTGCAACACCAGGGGCCAGGACGGTAACAGTGTTCTGTATCACTGCACGACGACGGCACTCCCCGGATGCTTCGAGTCGCTGGCGTATCATGGAACCAGGCTATTTCTGGGCGACTACTATAAGACATACGGTGCGGGCACAGAGAATGTCGAGGATTCGGTAAGTATACAGCTCAAGTTATGGAGGACGACTTGTTCAAGTGCTTATGGTGTCAGATGCGCAAAGTGGTGAAAGATCCCAGTCAGTTTAAGAGCAGCTGGCTGCCCAGCCGACCGTTCGTGTCTCCCCCCTCCGCGGATGCAACAACGATTGCTAAATATCCAGCACAGTTTCGTCGTGGAAGACACAGAGTACAACTACATCAGCGCGCGCTTTCCTCCCGATGCGGCAAAACTAGCCGAAATGACTGTCAACCTTGCCCATCTCATACACGTTCAAGGCTTCAAGGGTCAAGACCCGACTACGGCATAACATGCCGAACATGCACTAAACTTTTAAGCTTGTCGTCTACGTGGCATCATTCTTGCATCCGTCGTCATCATCAGCGCTAGAAATGCGCATGCTAGTTGCAGCCGGAGAGTGGAAGTTGAGACTTGTTCGACTGTTTCGCTTGTGAATCGGCCTGCGTCCTGTAGGGTTCTTGATGCGACGGGCCCATTGTGTACGGATTCCCAGTCTGAATGACATCAATGTCGTCATGGTGATCTATTCCAGTGTTTGAAAATTTGGGGAATAGGACTAGCACTGTGCTCCGGCTAGAAATAAGCTCAGAAACCGTTGCCAACGTGATGTGGATACTTGGGGTCCAGCATGATGCTTGAAGTGAATGCTTTTCTCCGTCTTGCAAAGCGATACCGAGGCGGCAAGCAGAAACCTTGCCAGATCTACAATCTCAAGCGGCTGTTTTCCTCATGGCTAGTTTCCGAGCTCCGCAATTCTCTGTAGAGCTTCATCAACTCCTTGAGCAACGATTGTCGGCTCAGTGCCAATGACGCTTCCCAGTGCATCAATCCATCCCGTCCCGGCCCGGTCGATCCACGCAGACTGCCACCCGGCCGCTCTCGCTCCAAGTGCATCAAACGGATTTGAACTCACCAGCCAAATATCGCCTTCTCTGCCAGTCATACCCACCTTCTCCGCAAAGTGCCGGTACGTCGCAGGAGCGGGCTTGAAGCAGCGTGCCCCTTCCACCGTCACCAACTTCTCAGAGCCAAAGATACGGCTCTTGCGTTGATTGATTTCGGGGCAGGTTCTGATGGATGCGCTGACCATGTCATCCGTCCCGTTGGAAAACACGTACGCGTCGATGGAGCTGTTCCCTTCGACAATGCGCATCGCCGACTCAATGTCCGGGAAGGCTTGGAGACCGTTATAAGCTTCCATAAGACGGTCCTCGTCCTGCTTTGAGAGAGTTGGCTTCTTTCTCTCCGCGATGGCATGCTTCAGCGCTGCGCGCGTGATGTCGGAAAACGGACGGTATGTGCCTAGATGTGTCTCGTTGTCTTAGCCTACTATCACCTTTTTTATGCCGTACAAGATTCTGGATGCGGTACGAACCCATGCTGTTGATACGCCATGTGTACTCGAGCTGATACCGCCGCCACTGCGCCGCCAGGGTTTTGGCTTCATCTTCGTCGCCGTAGAGCTCTGCGAGTTGCTTTGCGATGGATTCGGTCGATAGGAGAGTGCCGTATAGATCAAAAGCGATGATTGTCTTGCGCTTGTCTTGCGCCATGTCGCTCAATGGCCCGGACTTGCCTGTGTCAAAGCCGGGATTTTAATGCCGATTACTACGAGATGGATGTTAAACGAAGGCCTCGCAAAATGAAAGCCACGATGGTCAGATGGAAGGAATGTCGTCCGAACGCCTCTCAGCCGGCTTCCGTCGCCCAAAACGTGGGGGAGGGGGATGCGCACTTATACCCGGGCGCCCCCGCTCCCCACAGACAACGCGCTAAAGTGCCCTAAAATCGCCCGCCCTCCGTCCGAACGGATCGTGAGGTAAGCTCCGAAAAGCAACGTCGACTCAACGTCATCGATTCACGTCTTCTACCTCATCTCACTCACACTTTTCATGAGAAGAATCTCACCTCACAGAATCAAAACTTGCCACCATAGATGAGACAATGAGAAGTTCTGATGAAGACTCAACCCAGTTTGAAACATTACGAGACTGCCTCTCCGCCGCCGTCGTAGAACGCGTGACCAAACCAGCACCGAAACCAAAACGCCGCTCCAAGAAGGCGAATCCTCGCCGGCCGCCCAAATCTCAAAATGATGATGGGCCCTCAGCCGTCACCAGCGGCGGCGGCACCGGCGACGACGATGATAACACTCAGGTGGACGCAGACGACATGATCGACTTCACATCCTACCTCGCCTCCGAAACCTTTGACTCGTTTCCCCCAGACCTCAAATCCTTATCCCACGCAACCCACGCAGCCGACCCGTCCCTCCTACAATCCCGCTTCCCCCTTCCACTCACCGGCGCCGATGTAGCAGACCTCTTACCCACTCTATCTTCAGACGTTGCGGACTCGCTGGCAGCCTACCACATCGTCGACCCAGCGAAACAAGGCGCCCACGAGTTCCTGGCCCCCGTGTTGACAGAGTACATCTCCGCCCTCGTCGCGCCGCCGCCTCCCCCGCGCTCGACGCGAGATTCCGTGGATGGGTGCGAGTTATGCGGGCGGGACTGGATCGGGTTGACGTATCATCACCTCATTCCGCGCATGGTGCACGATAAAGTCGTCAAGCGCGTGTGGCACCGCGAGGAGGAGCTGAACAACGTGGCGTGGCTGTGTCGGCTGTGTCATTCTTTTGTGCATCGGTTCGCGGGGCATGAGGAGCTTGCGAGGCATTATTATACTGTTGAGTTGTTGCTTGAGCAGGAGGAGGTTGTGAGGTTTGCGCAGTATGCTAGTCGGGTGAGGTGGAAGGGGAAGTGAGGTCCATCATCAAAAGCTGCATTTGCGTTTGGAGTTTTGGGCTGGGAAGCCAGGGAGAGCTTGAGATTTTGCTATTATCCTGTTCCCTACGGCTATCCAGAAAACTTTTTGGGCATTCTCGTCCGTCCAATTATCACTCGCCGACACAACGTCCCTCAGTCGTCCCTCGAAGAACATCCTAAGCATCATCAACCAAGCTCACACCATCCCGCTACCTCGGCCCTCAACCACCTCCCGCCGTTCTTCAAAGATATTTCTAGGCAGAGTCGGGTTACCACACGCCAAAGACACATACTTTAGACAAATCCTCCTCCGCTGCCGTTCACAGCAGTAATTCCACACGCACGCCTCGCCCGCGCTGCAGCTGCTCGACGAAGTACACGTCCTGACCTCGTTACATCCCTTACTCTCCACGCAGACCTGCCTCCGACTCGGCTCGTCCAAGTTCCTATCGACCTCGCGAAGACAGGTGCAGAGCTTTCCACCGCCGCCGGGGCACTGGTAGAGGTTCACGCCGTCAAAGGGACAGTCGCGGGCGCCGCGGCAGCCTGGGTTGGCGTATTGGGTTGCCGTGACGGTGGCGACTGGCACGGGAAGGGTCGTTATGTAAGGGGTGTAGCCCCAGCAGCTGCAGGCTGAGGAGTAGGCGCTGGTGCTGGTGCAGGAGACGGCTGCGTAGGAGGGGACTGAGGTTGGAGATTGCGTGATGGGGGCACGGGTTGTAGACTGGGAGAATGTAGTAGTTGGGGTAAGGGGTATATTGTCGGTGTAGATCGTGGTGGTGATGGTGGAAGTGCTAGCAGATCATGTTAGAGCTCGGGGCTAAAACTCATGCTGCTTCTAGTTTCTAAGACTTACAACGTGTCCGGAATGACGGTGGTCTGCATGTAAGAGGAGCAGTCTAAGCCGCGGCTTGTGACGTCCGGGACGCCGGCGGCCCTGAAGGTGCCGGTCACTCTGCGGGCGCAGTTATCGGCGTTGCATCTCTGGGCAACGACAAAGGAGATGAGGCCTACGAAGGCGACTATGATAGACTTCATATTGACGACTTGATCGTATCTCTTGAGTATTTGATGGCTGACTGGTGATTGAGCGCGACATGGAAACGAGTTGAAGCAGCCGGACAGCCGCCTTTTATCTATCGTAGGAACCTAAATGCAGGACACGTCTAACGGTCTCACTGGCCCCAATATGAGCTAGCTGAGCCAGTTTGAGCAATCTTGAGTGAATGTGGCACGATCAGCATGAGCGAATGCCAACGAATGAAACCCGTCAACACCAGCTGAACATGAAGCTATCGTGGAATCATGGCTCAGTAACACCGTTCGCACCCGCGAAGGCAAAGTGGATTGCCCCGAGGGAATGTCTTACAAGATTGAGTCAATTACAAAGGTAACCCTGTCAAGTCTCGTATCGAGGTGTGGTCTCAGTTCTCCATTACCCCAGAAAATGGGCTGCTGCGCAACATACTGTATCCCATACGTGATTTGTTTACCATTGAACCTTGACAGGGCCAGACACACTGTGAGCAAGAGACATCAGGGTCAATTGAGACTGTCTCGGAGCGGTAGTACCTGAGCAGACGCAGGACAAGCAGACCAGCTGAGCTCTCTAATACGAGCTTCAGTCTCAGTCTGAGTCGAGAGCAACTTCAGCCGCGACTCGATCCAACAATCATTTTCAAACAATCGTCGTATCTCACACTCAAGATCCTGTCTCGAAGAAATACCAAAGATGGTGGTGCCATGAGACTAATCGCAAATGGTTTCAAGTCGATGCCACCGTCGGTCCAACATCACTCCCATCACCCTCCAATAACCCGAGACTTCTCAACAACGCATCCGGCCCGGGCTCCCTACGCAGAAACTCTTTCATCATCTCCATTTCGTCTCTGCTGCCGCCGTACTCGAGGATTCCTCTTCGGTACCGGTCCCAGGCTTCAGGACTGCGGGGGTCCTTGGCGAAGCACGACTCGAAGAAGGAGGCCGCGAATGCTTGGGCGCTTTGTGGGGGTAAGTCAGCACTGCACTTGGAAGCCGTAGTGACGGGGCTTGAGTCATTGATAGAGGATCTCAGCTCCCGCCAAACTCTGAATGAGATTGTAAAATTGATTCTATGCAGCAAACATACCTCATGTAGGCGTAGTAGCCCGCATCGTAGAGCTCGATGAGATGCGTGGAGTGAACCAATCCGTACCCTCTCTTATCAGGATTCGGCCTGAGTGTCATGGAATCCTGAAGGTCGTTGTAGAGCTTCACTTCATCCAGCTCTCTCAGAGCCTCGGTTGACTCTTGATTGTTCACCATCATATCAAACGTGGCAAATACTCTGTTCCGTGTCAGTAGTCCATCATATCACCAAACCAATCACACGAGGTAACAAAAGAAAGGTAGAAAAGGACAGAAAACTTACAGCTGCCTTAGGAACCATAGACCCCGGTTCAGCTCTCGACTCTGTACCAAGTTTTCGGTCAACTCCTTTGGCATCTTTTCCTGCGGGGGCTCTTCACCATCCCCATGGTCTTCCTTCCACTTCGCCATGTACGCCAGATCGACGCGCGTGTAGTGCCGGCCCATCTTGACGAGCTCTTCCGGCATCCAGCACCACTTTTCCAACATCGTGCTCGGCGCCTCGCCAAAGTCGGGCGCCACACGCGTTCCGTGGAAGCGGGTATGCTTTGTGCGGGATACAAGATCGTGAAGCCCGTGGCCCAGCTCTGTGTGGGCGGTGTGAGCGAAAACCATTCCCATCGGACGGGTGCAGAAAAGGAGTGTATCACGAATCATATTTGAGGTTGACAATGTGAGATAAAAGGGACGAAGAAGGGAATTGGACTGGTTTAGGCGTACCGTGGAACAATGTCACGACCTCGCGATGCTTTAACAGTGCACAAGACGCGGCTGTAGGGGGCTGAAAGGCACACATGAGCACCGTGGCAGGGTAGACTCTGGTGCCATCCTCCTTCAAGTAACCCTGTTGACCAGTCAGTGATTCTTTCTGATGGAACGAACCCAAAGGAGAACAGGCCTCGGCAACGTACGCATTGCAGGTTGACATTGCACGCCGTCCGGTATTTCCCTTCTCTCCAGAGAACGTCGGCGTACAGGTATCCCACAAACTCTCCCTTTCTCTCCCCTCTTCCCTCCCAGACTGCCCAAACCTGTACCCCCTTGTCCCAGATCTTTCCAACTAAATCGCTCTTCGGTACGGGTTCGAATTCAAACCCCAGAAACTCGGAGAACAAACCCAGCATGGCCAATAACGTATGATTCAGGGGGAAATACTCGAACATCTTCTCCTGGTCAACGTCCGCCTCTTCCTCAAGAAGTCTCGTATAGTACTCAAAATCCCATGGCAGAATCCTCCCCTCCTCTTTATCCTTCTCTTCACCAACAATCCCCAATTCATTCCTCTTCCTGTCCACAATTCTCGCCATCTCTTCCCTTCCCCGAGGCTCCAATCCCTTTCTTAACCGTCCCAAGAACTCCTCAACCCACCCAGTCGACGGCGCAACCCTCCTCTCGATCCGGAACCCCGCGTGGTTCCCATACCCCAACATCCTCGCATTCTCGTCTCGTAGGACAAGCATCTCCTTGTACAGCGGCACGTTCTCAGGGAACCGGTTGTCAAACGCAACATACACCCGCCTCCTCGTCTCCGAATCACGCGCATACCGCAGCACGGCATCGTAATCCGCCCTCTCCAACGTGATAAACCTCTTGCCCCTTTCCTCCGGCACGTCTTCGTCCCGTCCAACTTCCCATCTCTCCATCTCTTCTCTGGGTAT